GTAGTGGTGGTGCGAGTGATGGTGATGGTAGTAGTGGTGGTGGTGACAGTATGTGATGGTGACGGTAGGTGGTGGTGACAGTATGTGATGGTGATGGTAGTAGTGGTGGTGGTGACAGTATGTGATGGTGATGGTAGTAGTGGTGGTGGTGACAGTATGTGATGGTAGTAGTGGTGGTGGTGACGATGTGATGGTGATGGTAGTAGTGGTGGTGGTGACAGTTGATGGTAGGTAGTGGTGGTGGTGACGGATGTATGTGATGGTGATGGCAGTAGTGGTGGTGGTGACGGTATGTGATGGTGATGGCAGTAGTGGTGGTGGTGACAGTGTGTGATGGTAGTAGTGGTGGTGGTGACAGTATGTGATGGTGATGGCAGTAGTTGTGGTGGTGACAGTATGTGATGGTGATGGTAGTAGTGGTGGTGGTGACGGTATGTGATGGTAGTAGTGGTGGTGGTGACAGTATGTGATGGTGATGGTAGTAGTGGTGGTGGTGACAGTATGTGATGGTGATGAGCAGTAGTGGTGGTGGTGACAGTATGTGATGGTGATGGTAGTAGTGGTGGTGGTGACGGTATGTGATGGTGATGGCAGTAGTGGTGGTGGTGACGGTATGTGATGGTGATGGCAGTAGTGGTGGTGGTGACGGTATGTGATGGTGATGGCAGTAGTGGTGGTGGTGACAGTATGTGATGGTGATGGCAGTAGTGGTGGTGGTGACGGTATGTGATGGTGATGGCAGTAGTGGTGGTGGTGACAGTATGTGATGGTGATGGCAGTGGTGGTGGTGGTGACAGTATGTGATGGTGATGGCAGTAGTGGTGGTGGTGACGGTATGTGATGGTGATGGCAGTAGTGGTGGTGGTGACAGTATGTAATGGTGATGACAGTAGTGGTGGTGGTGGTGGTGACGGTACTTAATGGTGATGAGCATAGTGGTGGTGGTGACAGTATTTAATGGTGATGGCAGTAGTGGTGGTGACAGTATGTAATGGTGATGACAGTAGTGGTGGTGGTGGTGACAGTATAATGGTGATGGCAGTAGTGGTGGTGGTGACGGTATTTAATGGTATGACAGTAGTGGTGGTGCTGACAGTATTTAATGGTGATGGCAGTAGTGGTGGTGGTGACAGTATGTGATGATGATGGCAGTAATGGTGGTGGTGATAGTACAGTATATGGTGGCAGCAGTATGATAGCGGGTACCTGTGATGATAACAGTACCTGCACAGAGAAGCAATTTGGTGGAAAGCCCTCAAGAGGACGCCTCGTGTTTGATCCCGCCAGCGTCGGTCTCTCCTCCACTCCATTTTTCTCCACTTTTTTTTAATGTGTCTTTGGCTGTCCGGGTTTTAGTTGGTATTTTATTCTCATACTGGGCAAGAGATGATCATGATTTGTCCTGGGTGTGGTGGTGGGGGTGTGTGGTGTGGTGGTGTGTGGGGTGGTGGTGTGTGGTGTGGTGTGCGGGGTGGTGGTGTGGTGTGCGGGGTGGTGGTGTGTGGTGTGGTGTGTGGAGAGAGAGAGAGAGAAAAAAAAAAAAAAAGAGAGAGGAACCTGTGCAGTGCCATCATCAACGCACAGGTGTTAAAAAGTCCACAAGTGTCTTAGAACCACACTTCTTAGCACACTGCTCTGCCACATTACCATTCCCCTGCACCACACCTCTACCATACCCCTCCACCACACCTCAACCACACCTCTTAACACACCTCCACCACACCCAAGCTAAGGGTAGTTTAATCTCCATACATTATTTACAGCATTATTCATAAAATATTTAGTGTTATTCATTATACATCATGTAATCTTACCGGTGTTATTTATGATATGTGATTTGTTTCATTGATTATTCACTAAATACAATGTTATTCACTTAGGAGAGTTTGGTAATTCATTATATACAAATTCTCGTATTATCTTCATATTCCCATTACATTATTATTATTATTATTATTATTATTATTATTATTATTATTATTATTATTATTATTATTATCATCATTATTATATTATTATTATTATTATTATTATTATTATTATATATTATTATATTATTATTATTATTATTATTATTATTATTATTATTATTATTATTATTATTATTTCCTACTTTTCTATTCAGTTGATCAGTACTGCCAGGCGTATGACGTTGTTCTTAAGCCACCTTCATTAAAGCTATTCCGAGGAGACCATTACTCCTAAGTTTAACGACGGTAAGACCAACTCTGAGGGCGTAGTATGGACACACAGACAGACAGACAGAGACTGGACAGACAAACACTCACCTGGTATAAACCCTGACTATAAATCCTCCTCCCTCCACCATCCTCTCAAATATTTCCAAACAACAAATTTCATGTTCTATAATCCGTCAACCTTTTGTCAATCTATAATCATCATCCCCTATAACAATACAATTAGGGGAAATTATATTAAACCACGAATTGAATTATCTCCCTATTTTAATTTTTTGTATTTTTGTATTTTAGTTCAACAAAGGCAGCCTGGCATGGTATTTTAATTGGAATTCCAGCAAACAGCGCCACATTAAAGCCCAACAAATTATCGAAATGAAATCCCTGACTCACATCAAACCTTCCTTCACCTGACTAGTATTTTTTACTCTCAAACACAAACTCTTTCATACCATTCATGATTAACTTTACTAAATATTCTGCTGCTGGGAGGTTTATTATTATTATTATTATTATTATTATTATTATTATTATTATTATTATTGTTATTATTATTATTATTATTATTGTTATTATTTATGTTGTTCTTATTGTTTTTCGTTGTTTTTATTATTTTATTATTGTTAGTATTAATTGTTGTTATTGTTATTATTGTTATAATTACCGTATTGCTATTTGAGAGAGAGAGAGAGAGCAACAACTCGTATTAAGGGATTAAGTCGTACAATGTTGATGAACCGCTTCACAAGTTTGGTCTAAGTCTGTCAGTTTTGGGAAGACTTCTCCAGAAATTTCCTGTTCTTCGGGAAAGCGTCGTATTTGGACCGAAAGTTTATATTATTGATGTTTATATACCACAGGAAGGAGAAGTGTGAGATGTTTATAGAAAAGTTTATATATTTTGATACTTGTTCATATTTTATTTATTTTTTGTAGTGTGAGTGTGTTTATAGCGTGCAGGTGTGTGTGTGTTTATAGTGTGCAGGTGTGTGTGTGTGTTATAGTGTGCAGGTGTGTGTGTGTGTGTGTGTTTATAGTGCAGGTGTGTTTATAGTGTGCAGTGTGTGTGTGTGTGTTTATAGTGCAGGTGTGTGTGTGTGTGTTTATAGTGTGTGTGTGTGTGTTTATAGGTGGTGTGTGTGTGTGTGTGTTTATAGTGTGCAGGTGTGTGTGTGTTTATAGTGTGCAGGTGTGTGTGTGTGTTTATAGTGCAGGTGTGTGTGTGTGTTATAGTGCAGGTGTGTGTGTGTGTTTATAGTGTGTGTGTGTGTGTGTTTATAGTGCAGGTGTGTGTGTTTATAGTGTGCAGGTGTGTGTGTGTGTGTTTATAGTGTGCAGGTGTGTGTGTGTGTGTTTATAGGTGCAGGTGAGTGTGTTTTGTGTATGTTGTATTATCTTTCTATACAGGTGTGTGTGTGTGTGTGTGTGTGTGTGTGTGTGTGTGTTAGTACCTGTAGATTGAGAAATTGGCTTTTACACTGCATTTTATTTTGCTTGCTCCTCTCTCCTTCCTTCCTTCCTTCCTCTTTTATTCCTTTATCCCGAACACACCTCTCCCCACATCCTCCGCCCACCTCTTGCCCCTCCGCCCACCTCTCTTGCCCCCTCCCCACCTCTTTTGCCCCCTCCGCCCACCTCTTGCCTCCCTCCGCCCATCTCTTCTCTCCCTCCGCCCATCTCTTCTCTCCTCCGCCCACCTCTTCTACCCTCCGCCCACCTCTTGCCCCCTCCGCCCACCTCTTGCCTCCCTCCGCCCATCTTTCTCTCCCTCCGCCCACCCCTTCTACCCTCCACCTCTCCCCTCCGCCCACCTCTTGCCCCCCTCCGCCCACTCCTTCTCTCCTCCGCCCACCTCTTCTTCCCTCCGCCCACTCTTCTCTCTCCTCCGCCCACCTCTTCTCTCCCTCCGCCCATTCCTCTCCCTCCGCCCACCTCTTCTCTCCTCCGCCCACCTCTCCCTCCGCCCACCTCTCTCCTCCCTCCCTCGTCCACCGTCCTCATGATGAAATTTTCCACAATGTTTACTTTGGTGTCCCAGACGATCTCCAAAACCAATTCCGGAGCAATGAAAGTCAGTGTGTGTGTGTGTGTGTGTGTGTGTGTGTGTGTGTGTGTGTGTGTGTGTGATAATTAATAACTCGATGTTTCTTGACTACATACTAGACCAACCCTGTGTGTGTGTATATTTTCTACACAGGTATGCATATGATTCAGGCCTCTGCATTATTAGGTCACTGCAGGCGGGGTGAAGGGTGTGGTAGGTCACTGCAGGCGGGGTGGGAGGGGTGTGAGGGGTCACTGGAGGCGGGTGAAGGGTGTGGTAGGTCACTGCAGGCGGGGTGAAGGGTGGTAGGTCACTGCAGGCGGGGTGAAGGGGTGTGTAGGTCACTGGAGGCGGGGTGAAGGGTGTGGTAGGTCACTGGAGGCGGGGTGAAGGGTGGTAGGTCACTGGAGGCGGGGTGAAGGTGGTAGGTCACTGGAGGCGGGGTGAAGGGTAGGTCACTGAGGCGGGGTGAAGGTGGTAGGTCACTGGAGGGGGTGAAGGGTGTGGTAGGTTCTCTCACAGCCCCTCCTCACACGGTGTTGTTCCTGCTTATATTATTTATCCTCCCACTGACGTATTTACATTTTATATTTATTACTTTTATCTTTATTGATTTAAGTAACTTTTGTTGACCTTAAAACTTTGTCTTTTTTACTTTCTGTTGTTTTGTAGATGTGTTTCAGGTGTGTATCGATGTTGTATTACCAAGAGTGATGAGGTGATACAGGTGTGTAATACTATTTTTTGTCTCGTTACAGATGTGTTACAGTTACAGCTGTACTGGACAGTCGGGACCGAGCCAAGGGCGCGGCGACCAAAGCCTCCCTAGCCCTGCAGAACGTCTTGGCCCTAGAGACAGGTGGGTCCTCCTCCTGCCTTCCTGTTTTCCTTTTTTTTCTTTCTACCTTCCTTTATCTTCTTATTCCCTTCGTCTCATCCTCCTACTCCAACTTCCTTCCTTTATCACTTTTTTTCATTCATCTCCCCCTCTCTCTCCTCCCATCCCTCTCCCTCTCCTCCCATCCCCTCCCCTCTCCTCCCATCCCCCTCCCTCCCATCCCCCCCTCCTCCTCTCCTCCCATCCTCTCCCCTCCTCTTCCTCCCATCCCCCCTCTCCTCCCTCTCCTCCCATCCCCCTCCCTCCTCTCCTCCCATCCTCCCTCTCCCCCATCCTCCCTCTCCCTCTTTCTTCTCCACCGATCAAGTTCTCCTCCCGTCCTTGTCATCCTCCTCCTCCTCGCTCTCTCCAGTGTCACCAGAGAGCAACATCAGCATTAAATTTGATAATTGCAGTTGTGTCATTAGGGTTGGGACTCATTAGGACTGGGACCCATTAGTACAAGGACCCATTAGGACTGAGACCCATTAACACTATTAGGGCTGGGGTTTAGTTGGCCATTCATCGCTACAGTAGGTAAATCGTGTAGTTAAAAGCTGCAGGATATTGATAAAGATCTAAACTCCCCTTCAGGAAAGTTTCATTGGGTGTCACGGACGAGTCAGCTGGCCTATACCTCCTCCCTCCCTCCCTCCCTCCCTGACACCGTGCCCCGTCATCTGGGTTCCAATTCTATCATGTTCCTACGTTAATTTCCTGACCATAACTAGACACGGGAAAACACACCTGGATATTGTAGTCACTCGCTGGTGTTTTGGTCTTCGTTTTGGTTTACCATTTGGGTGAGGTAGATGCTTGTAGCCGCTAGGTATGAGGGAATTGTTGTTTGTGAAGTTTTGAGAATCATTGTTTTGTCTCGTAGATTGAGTGAGTTGGCTGAGTGTTTTCTCTTTAAGAATTCTGGAGGTTTAAACTTGTACACCTGGGTCACCTTGGCTCACCTGTGTGTATGCGTGTGTGTGTGTACGTGTGTAAAAGGAGGACAAGTCAAGGTTGGTATAGTCAGGGTTGTCTCACCACACACACACACACACACACACACACACACACATGATAAATTCACCCTGGTTGCAGCTGGGTTTGTTTTGTGAGGTACAGGACCGTGAAGCTGTTGGTCTCTAGGGAAATAATTAATTCACAACTTGGTGCACTAAAACTTAAAGCAGAACCTGGGAGTAATATATAACACCAGACCAGTACTGAGGGATGTGGCTGCCTTTGTTTTGGTCACGTCTCGTTACTTGTGACCTAACCTAACCTAACCTAACCTAACCTAACCTAACCTACTAAACCTAACCTAACCAACGCATATCTATAATTACATGTCATTCGTTATTTTAATCCGTAAAATACTAAAAAAAATGCATAAACAAACACTTTGAGAAGGAAATTGTTTGGTTGATTTATTTATTTTTGCCAGGATAGCAGCTAGTTTATTGTGCACCCTATAACTCATCCTGTGACCGGGGGCGCATAGAGGATTACAGACTTGAGGTCACAAAGGTCTGTGGTGAAACATTATCGTGTGTGTGTGGAGAGAGAGAGAGAGAGAGAGAGAGAGAGAGAGAGAGAGAGAGAGAGAGACCTCCTCCCCCTCGCCCATGTGGTGGTCTGTAAGGTTAATGAAACACGATAAGGTTCCTGGTGTCTGGTATTACCTTCATGGAGTCCATCTGAGGAGACCAGGGGGGAGGGAAGAAGAAGGTAGGGAGAGGAAGGGGTGGTGGAGGGTGACATCAAGACCTTGGGTTACTGAAGCATTATGAGACTAAACTACCAAGGTTTTGCATCTCATCTGTCACTCGAAATCCCCCCCAAAAAACACAAAAACATTCTAATTACTCTGTATATACTAAACCAAACCTATTCATTAAAACCAAAATCTCTTAAAAAAATAAACGTGCATTCGTTCTCATATTCCAGTGAAGTAAATATATACATTGGAGTAACACGATTGTCATTACTACTGTCGTTGGCCAGTCACAAACGTGGCCAGAATAGAACTGGTGTCAGATAGAGCCATAATAGAGTGTGTATTGCCCTCACGTGTAAGATATGATAGCCAGTGTCTGAGTGAACTGTCTGACCATGAAGGCATAATGCTTAACGCCCTTAGCTGTGATAATGTGTGTGTGTGTGTGTGTGTGTGTGTGTGTGTGTGTGTGAAATTCTCTCATCTTGGGGACACATTCTCATAGGTTCGTAAGGTGAATTTTTCCTCATACGTGAAGATACAAAATTTAAGGTAAAAAACGCGACTTTAATAATAACACTAAAATTACATGTTTATATCTTAAGTTACCTGCAATCACAGGTACTCACTCACTGATTCACTCACTCACTGGATGCTGCCTAAATATAAGAGAGAGAGAGAGAGAGAGAGAGAGAGAACAGTTAGCAGCGTCTCTTGAAAGTTGAACGCCAGGAATATATTTGTGGTCTTGGGAGAGTTGTGCTCAAGTTGTTCCATTACTGAAAGTTTGCTTCAAGTGGTCCTAAGGGGGAGGTAATTGAGTGGCCGTGTGTGTGAGTTGATCAAGTGGTCGTGTTTGTGAGTCAGTGGTTGTGCTTGTGAATTAAGTGGTTGTGTTTGTGAGTTAAGTGGTCGTGTTTGTGAATTAAGTGGTCGTGTTTGAGTTAAGTGGTCGTGTTTGTGAGTTAAGTGACCGTATTTATGAGTTACAAAAGAGTTGTTTATGATTTCCCCACAAGCAGGGAGTAGCAGTAGTAGGAAGGTGGGATCAAATATTTCCCCACCAGTAGTTGGAGGAACCTAGACATTTCCTCAGCAGCAGCAGTAGTAGCAGTAGTAGGAAGAAGAATAACCCCTCCAGTCCTGCATTACAAGGGTCTCGCCCCCAACAGGAGTTTTGATGGTGGTAAAACTTGACTCTCTCACAATGTGTTGCCTTAATGTTTAAACTTGTCTTGGTTCACCTGCATTGTTGGCCAGAAATTTGATTCGAGGGGACAAGGCAAGGCAGGGCAGGGCTGGTGGGAAGGGACGGGTGGCAGGGGAGGCAGGCAGGCAGGCAGGCAGGCAGGCAGGCAGGCAGGCAGGCAGAGGCTGGCAGACAGAGAAGAGGTGGGAAGGAGGGAGGCTGGGCGGGCTGGGCTGGGCTGAAAGTCTATCACTGAAACGTTATTGTGTAAGGTGTACTGACTCTGATATTGAGAAATGTTTTTGTGGAAGTGTTTTGGGAGTTACCAGAGAACGTTTATGTTCCAGGGTGTTATTGAGGAAACGTTTGTGTATGTGTTTTGAGTTTTATTGATAGAAACGTTTTTATATAACTATTGGCATTTTTGTTGATGGTTAGAATGTGTTATTGAGAAACGTTTTGTAAACTTGGGAAACGTTGCCACATGATTGTTTCCCAACCACACCATCACACGTAGAGCCTCCAGCCTTGTCGTCACCACAGGTCACCACACCATGACCTTAATCACCATGACATTATTTTAAACCTTCGTACTGTTACTACTGTACCACACCATCACTATATGACCACCACCACACACCACCACACCACAAGTCACCACACACCACACCACAAGTCACCACACCACCACCACACCTCACACCATCACCGCCCCCCCCACCCCCCACACCATCACCACACCGTCAAACCACAGTCACCACACCCCCACACGCCCCCTCACACCATCACCACACCACTACCACTTTGTCGTCATGTATGGTACGTGTTGTGGTGCCAGGAGCCTCAGCTTTAAGGCTCCCAAGGGATGACCAAGGCTACACCAGATACTAATACTAGAAACAGATATATCTCCTGGTATGGTCCCTGACGCGGCCTGGAGGAGGAGGAAGAGAGGAGAAGAGAAGAGGAGGAGGAAGAAGGGGAGGAGGAGGAGGAGGTGGAGTCACTGGCCTGGACACCACAACTCATCCTCACACCTTCAAAGTCCATTCTCTTCATTACCACTCATCCCTCCCTCTCACTTCCCTCTCGCCACCAAAAATCATCTCTTCTCCCACTCCTTCTCCACTAATCTCTTCACGCTTCCCTCTCATCCACCACCACCCACTCACCCCTTTTAGCCCTCTCCCCACCACTCTTCCCCTCTCCTCAACACTTCTTCCCTCTCACCCTCTCCCCACCGTCACTCCCCAACCCAAAGTGAGGAGGGGAAAAGAGAGAAAAAGAGAGAGTAGTGGAAGTAAAAGGAAGGGGGGTGATGGGGTTAAAGGGAGGGAGGCGATGGGGAATGGGTTAATGGGGAAGGGGTGATAGTGAAGGGTAAAGGGAATGGGTAAAGGGAAGGGGTGAAGGGAAGGGGGAAATTTAAAGGTCGAAATAACGAAAAAAAACTTGGTGTTAATGATTAGCATAAAGTTTAGTGGAAATTAGCATAATGGAAGTTGTGAACGGGTCCAGGGTGAGATTAGGTTAGGGGTAGGTTAGGTTAGGGGTAGGTTAGGTTAGGTGAGAGTTAAATTTTTGTGTGTTGCTAGATTATATTGTGGTGTTGCAAGGTTATGAAATGTGTTGTAATGGTTAGGAATACATTTTTTTGTGTTTAAGGTTATGTGGTGTGTTGCACAGGTTATGTAGTGTGTTGCTAGGTTATGTGGTGTGTTACAAGGTTATGTAGTGTGTTGCTAGGTTATGTGGTGCAGTATTTACAAGGTTATGTGGTATGTTGCAATGTTTTCCCTCTATTACTATCATCACTAACTATACCATCCCGTGTTGCAGGGTTCACGCTGGACAAGGAGAGCCACACGCTGGGTCTGCTATGTAAAGATGTCACCCTGGTGGTGGCCTTTGACACGAAGGCGTATGTTGCAGTGGCAGGTCAAGATGACTTCGACGTTGGGTGAAGGTGAGTGATCCTGGACCGTCAGTTGTAGTGAAGATAAACTGTGTGTGTGAATGTTAGTGTTGTTGTTATTGTTATTATTATTTTTATTATTATTATTATTATTATTATTTTTGTAATTATTATTTTATTATTTTATTATTATTATTATTATTATTATTATTATTATTATTATTATTATTATTATTATTATTTTATTATTATCCTTATTATCTTACCGCCTTATTATCATTTTCGTTATTATCCATTTATCATAAGTTTTCCCCTAATTGTTCACCCATTCACCTCACTTTTCCTTAATTTTCCTCAGATTCGCACATAAACAAGGGCATTTTCCTCGCGTCCCCAGTACAGTCACTTCTTCCTCACCTCTCCCCTTGCTTACCCTTCCCTTACCCTTCCACCATCCCATTCCTCACCCTCCCCTTCCACTCATCCCCCCTCCCCTTCCACCCACCCCATTCCTCAATCTCCTCCATCACTGGGCCACTATTTCCCTGTGAATGTATAGAGTCTCTCTCTCTCTCTCTCTCTCTCTCTCACACAGTTAGTTTGGCAACACATATGTGCCGAGTGAACGAGGACATCCCTGGGGCTAATTACCCTGCCTTGTTATGCTCTAGTTTCTTACCTTATTTGGGCGTCGTGTTTTCTGCGGAAGTTAAGATTGTTGCTGCGTTGGCTGTGGGCAGTGTTGGGTGGTGCTGTGGGCGTTGCTGCGTTGGCTGTGGGCGTTGTTGGGTGTTTCTATGTGTGGGCAGTGTTGGGTGGTTCTGTGGGCGTCATGGCAGATGATGCTCATAAGTACAGTCATTAGTTGTCGTTAATGTCCTGTTGACTTAGATAATTACCGCTTGGTTCTGGATGGCAGGGATGTGCTAGTAGGGATGTGTTCTAGTAATCTTGGGGGCAGGGATGTGCTAGTAGGGATGTGTTCTAGTAATCTTGGAGGTAGGGATGTGCTAGTAGGGATGTGTTCTAGTAATCTTGGAGGTAGGACATGTGCTAGTAGGGATGTGGGGTTCTTAGTAATCTGGGGGGCAGGGATGTGCTTGTAGGGATGTGTTCTAGTAATCTTGGAGGCAGGGACAAAGTAGTAGGGGATGTGCTCCAGTAATCTGGAGGTAGGGATGCTAGTATGGATGTTCTAGTAATCTTGGGGACAGGATGTGTTCTAGTAATCTTGGGGGTAGGGATGTGTTCTAGTAACTGGGAGGTAGGGATGCTAGCGGATGTGTTCTAGTAATCTTGTGGGACAGGGATGTGTTCTAGTAATCTGGAGGCAGGTTGTGTTAGAGATGTGTTCTAGTAATCTGGAGGCAGGGATGTGCTGCTAGTAGAATATGTTCTCGTAATCTTGGGGACAGGACGGTTTCTATAATCTTGGAGGTAGATGCTAGTAGGGATGTGTTCTAGTAATCTTGGGGGCAGGGATGTGTTCTAGTAATCTTGGGGGCAGGGATGTGCTAGTAGGGATGTGTTCTAGTAATCTTGGAGGCAGGGATGTGCTACTAGGGATATGTTCTAGTAATCTTGGGGACAGGGATGTGCTAGTAGGGATGTGTTTAGTAATACCCGTGAGTTCTCGGAGGCAGGGATGTGCTAGTAGGGATGTGTTCTAGTAATCTTGGGAGCAGAGATGTGCCAGTAGAGTTGTGTAATATCCTTTGGTTCATGGAAGTAGGAATATGTTAAAGTAAAATTATACCAACGAGTGAAAAAAAAAACATATGGGAAGATTTTTTTTTTGGTGATCATTTCAGCCATATTTTTTTTTCAAACAGTGAATGAGAGAGACGGTCCATCCCGACTCAGAAACGCGACCAACGCATCAATGAAGCTTCGAATACACCAAGAAATGATGTTAGTTTAAGACAGAAGGTTTATCTGTTAGTGGTATGAAGGCTAGCTGTGTCTTAAGTGCCTCAACCACTCCGTCAAGTGTGTGGCGCCGCCTCAGATACTAGATCTCAGTAAAGTGCTTTGGGCTGTAAATTGTGGAGGGGAATAAGTATCGTCGCCCTTTAGTCTTTATTGCTGATAGCTAAACTGTTTCTTGTGTGTGTTGGGCGTGGGTGTTTGTGTGTGTGTGTGTGTGTGTGTATATATATGTGTGTGTGTGTGTGTGTGTGTGTGTGTGTGTGTGTGTGTGTGTGTGTGTGTGTGTGTGTGTGTGTGTGTTGGGCGTGGGTGTTTGTGTGTGTGTGTGTGTGTGTGTATATATATGTGTGTGTGTGTGTGTGTGTGTCAATTGTTTCTCATTATGTCCAGTCTCTCTCTCTCTCTCTCTCTTGTAATTTTAACTCGCTTGTTTACTTCAGAAACTCAAGCTAACTTAACCAAACAAGACTAAACTTTAACCTAACAAAATAAATAGACTTAACTTCACCTGAACCTAACTTAACCCAAACTTAGCCCAGACAAGATTATGAAACTTAACCCAATCTCATGTAAGTTAATACTCTACACACACACACACTCAACCTCCCCCCCTCCCACACACACACACACACACACACACACACACACACACACACACATGAATTTTACAACCGCTTCTCTCATTGTCTTAATTGTACTCAGTTTTATGTTAATTATCACACTAAATATAATGTTATTCACAGCACAACGGGAACAAATTAGGACCACACCACATGACTTGGGGCACGCCGTGACGTCATACCCGTCACTCCCTCATGCGTGTTGTGTTGTAATGCTCACTTACTTGTAACTGACGTATTTATATTTTTATTACTCGAGCTTGTTGTGTCGACCATAACTACCCAATTAGACATCAGCTTGCGTCTATTACTGGATACAAGATGGAGAGACAGACACTATGATTATAAGTGTGTATAGTGATTTAATGTTTTTTAGTTTAATCTTTTGGTTAATGAAAGTATTTATAGATGATTTTTAGAAGCCATAGAGGTCGTTTTGATTCGCAAGCCTCGTTGGAATAGTTAAGGGTAGGGGGTCACTGCTGTTCGTCCGTCCGTCCGTCCCTGATAAATGCTGCCCAGTACAGTATTCGTTCAGTAACTTATTGAATGAAATTTGATATATAGCTTCGTGTCGTGAACAGCTGAGTCACGTTTGATACATCAGCTATTTTTTCCCCCCAAGCATTATTTATTAAGAGTTATGACCCCCGCGTACTGGTGGGTCAAACAGCACCGTGTGTGTGTGTGTGTGTGTGTGTGTGTGTGTGTGTGTGTGTGTGTGTGTCGTAAGCAGGCCGTCTCGTACACAGGTCGTTTCATATACGGACTCAGGAATCGTTTGTTACGTCGTGCTGAGGAAGTCGTGGTCAGCCCCATGCAAAATAATGTCTTTTTTGGGACCATATTTCCGTATACTCTGGGAAGGTTGTTGTCCGTGGGAGGAGTAGAGGTGAGGGGAGTCTTTAGGGGTCCAGAAGAGGGGTAAGGGGGTCTTTAGGGGTCCAGTAGTGGGGTAAAGGGGATCTTTAGGGGTCCAGAAGTGGGGTAAGGGGTCTTTAGGGGTCCAGGAGTCGGGTAAGGTGGTCTTTAGGGGCACAGAAGTAAGATAAGGAGGTTTTTATGAGTCCAGGAGTGGGGTAAGGGACTCCTAGGGTGAAGTCTAAAGGTTGTGGTGTTGACGGCCACTGAGAGACACAGGAACGCTGGCTGTCTCACGTGTACCTTCATTTTTTGTGGTTCACTGACATGTTGTCCACATCACCAGCGTGTTAGTACAGCAGCAACGTTTAGTACAGAACAACATGTCCGTATACAGAACAACATGTCCGTATATAGAACAACATGTCAGTACAGAACAACATGTCAGCATAGAACAACATGTCCGTATACAGAACAACATGTCAGTACAGAACAACATGTCAGTACCACAATAATATCAGTATGTCAGCATAGAACAACATGTCCGTATACAGAACAACATGTCCCACACAACATGTATACAGAACAACATGTCAGCATACAACATGTCATACAGAACAACATGTCCGTATACAGAACAACATGTCCGTATATAGAACAACATGTCAGTACAGAACAACATGTCAGCATAGAACAACATGTCCGTATACAGAACAACATGTCAGTACAGAACAACATGTCAGTACAGAACAACATGTCAGCACAGTACAGCACAACACACACAATAAACAGCCTCACCGTGGCGGTCTAGCGGACTGTGACATCAACTTGTCTCTTAAATCTTGCCTGTACTGAGAGAGACAAGTGTATCTCCCTGACAGTGGTCGCGGTAGCAGCTGGCCAACACACTCTGTCTCTCATCTGCCGCTGTGTTAAGTGTCTCTTATGCTCAATATTACTCGCTATTATATGGTGTTTACATGAGGTTTTGTGGTCGGATGTTGTGGTCAAGCTTCCCGTGGGTGGCAGGAGTACCAGGCGAGCACTTCCTGGGTTCATCACCACCGCCTCCAGAGTTCCCAGCGTCTCGTGATGGACATTCTTGGGTGGAGTTGGGGATCGCCCGACCCACCAGTAGGGATATTTCTATCCGCGTGGCGAGTATTTCTGGTGCTATATGTGCTGGCATGGCCTTGTTAGGGCTGCTGTGTTGGATAAGAATTAAATAATAAGATTTTATAGCTTGAATGTTACGGAGAAAACAAACAGACAGACGAACAGCCGATATATTTATAAGACAACTTACCATTGTGATCCTCAGTTGTTTTGGGAGATGTGGAACACTCAGGTCACTCACCATCCTAACACGTGAACTAGACTGTACTAGTGTGAGGTGCCAACTGCCGCCCTCCAGGTATAGTGAACTTGACCAGACCTTCACCCACCAGCACAAAACAGCTGTAGGGGTGGTGATGGGGGGGGGGGGGTACTCGTCCCACCCTAAAGTTAGGCAACAGACACAGTGCCATGGGTACAGGCACTGACTGCCCTGCTCACATGATCCCGTCAGTAAGAATAAGCTACACTGGTTTATAGAGAACTATAATCAGCTTCCATGTTATGAAGACGTGAGCGGCAACATGTGTGGTGCAGACAGTCGCTATAAATAGTAGATGAGAGTTAGTAGTGGAGGAAGGAGCTGTAAATATATGGGACAGCAAATATAATTAAGGAGGGACCAGTAGAAATAAATACAGCTGGAAGATGGCTGGCGGGAAGCTGTTGGGAATACCAACATATTCCTCCCGGAAAAAGTTGTCCTATAAATATATTTTTATTGACAGTGATTCCTCGGCGCGTCACATAAATTGGTGAGCAAGTCCCATATCCCTAAAGAACTGTTTGTGTTAGTGGCTCCTTGTTAGAGGGGAGGAGGGGGGGGGGGTGCCTCTACCCTGCCTCCTTTAGGTACAAATTTCTTACTCCTACACCAGGCAAGGCCACTCGTACCCGAACCTGTGACCTGGTGAGTACAGATACAAGGTCACTCTCTGGTGCTGCATCACTGAGGTAGAGGGGTGAGTTAACAGTCATCACCCCTGGCCACCATCACAACCAAGGTTCCTCTTCTCAACTAATATAGATACAAAATAATCTTAGGAACGTCTTGAGAATCTGGTCGCTGTAATAGATGTTTAGGGCGCCATAACGGTGTCATTGGTGTTGGTCGTCGTGTGTGTTAACTGGCCCTCAGCACACACACCTTAGTCTTGACCCTCTAGTGGTGATGGATCATATACTTCAGTGGTGGTGGGTGTGGTGTTGTGATGGTAGTGTTGTATTTGAGGTACATCTACGTTGGCCAAGTGTATGTATGTATGTATGTATGTATGTTAAACCTAGTATGTCGATTTTACTCTCTCTCTCTCTCTCTCTCTCTCTCTCTCTCTCATGATCTATCACGCCTACAGAGCAACAGTTCCTGGTGCAGGTGCTACAGGTGCCGCCACGGTCGAGGGTGGCGGCGGGTCCTGCTCGGCTACACGTCAGGGACCACCGCTTCTGTCTCACCACCGGCACCCCACCGAGACTCCTGGCGGCTTGGTCCACACACGACCTCAGGTGAGCACAACCCCAGGTGAGCACGACCCCAGGTGAGTGCGACCCCAGCTGACACGGTTCCAGGTGAGCACGGTCCTAGGTGACACGGTTCCAGGTGTGTACGACCCCAGCTGACACGGTTCTAGGTGAGTACAACCCCAGCTGACACGGTTCCAAGTGAGTACGACCCAAGGCGACATAATTCCAAGTAAGCACGACCCCAGGTGAGCTGACACACGACCTCAGATAACACCGCGCCTCAGGTAAGCGCCACCAAATTGAAGCTCTTTAAGCACTGACACTTCTCCATTACAAAGCTTTAGTTGACTCCGTTAATACCGAGTGTGTGTTGTCTAGTGCTGAACAGTTGACTCTACACCTGACTTTATTAACGTAATATATCGTAGCCTTAACTAATCAACCTTCATCAAACCAAACATTATCTAGCGAACTCAAATCAATGTAACCAAATTTAATGTAACTAAACATAACTTAACTGTGCCTAACCTAGTCAATCTTAACCTAATCTAATCCAATCTTATTCTCTGGATTTCTGTGTTGCAGGCGGTACGGCGTGGTGGACGGGCGCGTGGTGTGGGAGGGCGGCACGCGGTGTGGGCGGTGGACGGGCGTTCACGTGGCGCTGTCCGACGCCCCCCACGCCGTCACCCACGCCATCGACCAGTCCGCCCGGGGGCTGTTGGCCCTTCCCAGGACCAGACCTCCATCCTCCTCCACAGGTAAGCCCCCCTCCCCCTGGCGTCCACTGAGCGTCGCCGCCATAGTCTCACCTCATTATGATAATGACTGACCTAAACAAATAGATTTTTTATTGTGACATTATACACCCTCGGGCAGTTCAGTGATTTATGACCGTTGTCGACGGCCTGTTTACATGTTATTGATACGTTGTTTGTATAGCTATTGGCGGCCTGTTCTTGTTTACCGAGTAAAGTACACCTCCCTGGTGCTGGCCGCGCGCCCCTACTGTAATGTGTTGTGTCCTCCGTCACAGGTTCGAGGGCAGAGAGCCGCACAGAGATGTCGTGGCTGCGGGAGGTAAGCGTGATGGACCTGAGTAGCGAAACGGTGTCCCTGGCAGCGTCGGAGGCCACAGCTACGGCCACCTCCCCGCGAGATACTCTGCCTGACCATAGCGACTCTCACTACACCGACGCCCACTCCGTCGCCTGGCCGCCCTGGAGCCGCCGTGCCTCCTGCCAGAGTCAATCCGTGGTGGGCTGCTCCACCGTCAGTAGCTCAGGCCCGCACATGTGTGGCCACGAGGGTGATGAGAACGCCTGGTGGGCATCCACGTGGGCGCGGGGGTCGTGGGAGGGCGTGGCTGCTCCCTCGCCCACACCAGAGTCCCTCTACGACCACCCGCGCCCTCTAGGTCATATTCACCACCCGGGTATGCAGCCGTGCTGCCTCACCCAACACCCGCCCCACCACCCTCACAACACCCCACAACAGCCCGACGGCGGCGGATTCAGCGTCAACAGCCCGCCCCGCGTGGCTCTCAACCCCCTGGACAACTACGATATCCCACCCCCGCCCAGGGTGCCACCCGCCGCCGCCCACTACGACACTCCACGACGTCTGGTTATGTGCGACAGCGGGACATCTCTGGCACAAGACTCCTCCTGCCAGCCAGGGGAGGCGGCCGACGGTGTGGTCCCAACGTCAGGCGTGTGGTGTGAGGGCGGCTTGGTGTCTGCCGCCCCCAGCTGTGGTCAGGTCCTTGGATGGGCGGGGTCGCTGGTGTGTGGGCGGAGAGAGGAAGGCGACGCTCCACCAGAACAACTGCGGGTGGACGGACACGGACGAATGCCCGTGGTGGATGCCAACACTGGCACTATCCTGCGACACCCTCCACCAACGCCGCCAAATAACAACCAGCCGCCCCAGGAAACTTCGGCGCTATATGCTGTTGTAAACAAGAGAAAGAAAACAGGCAAGCCTCGGGCACCCACTCCACCCCCCACACCCCCGCCCACTCCCCCACCTCGCCACCATGAATTTATCCCCACCTCTCACGCTAACTACGCCAACTTGGAGTTTGCTGCCAGTCTTGCTCTCTATGAGAACGTACGGGACGTTAAAAATGCCTCTAACTCCATACAGGCTGGTGCTCCTGTCAACACCCAACCCTCTTCCACAAACACGAGCGTCAGTCAGCCAGTCGTGTCCCATTCCTCCTCCACCACCCTCACCACCACCAGTGCGGCGCCGCCTGAGACCCAGGCGACCCCGCACCTCTCACCTACCTCGCCCGCCACACTAGAGTGCATCACAACATCTTCCACTGGTGGGTCGAGCTGTGACGGCGAGAACCACTACATGGCCATGACCCCCCGGCTGCCCTCCGACCCCCACTACCTCCCCATGGGGCCCACGCTGCCCTCTGCCACTCTCGTGCCTTGTGAAGCACCCACACAAGAGAAGAACGAGACCAAGACCACTCCTGTCAAGGACCGAAGTCGATCTTTGAGTATTACCGAGAACCGCTACGGTCGGTCACAATCGGTGGCACCCAGCCATCGCTACATGTCATTAGCGCCGCGACGCTCAACTTCGGCAGACTCCAGGCCGCGAGAAGCCTGGCCCTCGTCGCCAGCCACCACGCCCACGGCCACGCCCACTCGCCGACAAACTATCAACTCCTCCTTGCGCAGACGAGACAACCGTCTTAACTCTGAGGCTGCAACAGACAGTGGGTGTGACCTGCGGCACGACAGTGTCGAGGCGGACGGACCGACGGTCACCCCTGACCAGAGTGTGTGTACGGACGTGGAGGTCAGCCCACGCCCCGACGTGGTCACCACCACTGCCAGAGACCTGGTGGGGGAGGGAATATGCATCCTTCGGCGCTCGTCTTCAGTACCTGGCAAACCTGCGGCCAACAGAGACTCTGCCTCCAGCAGCGACTCCGGCGTGTGCGAATCCCCAAGAGCTGTGGATCGGTTGCTGACCTCCCACTGCCTGCACGCGTCCCTTCCTCGCTCCCGACGACCACACCAAGCTAACAACAACACTGCCACGACACACTCAGGTGAGTCCCAGTCTACCTATCAGAGATCACCTCACCTTCACTTCATTATGGTGTCATTAGATCACTGTGGTGTCATCAGTCATCATTGTAGTGTCACCAGCCGTCATTGTGGTGTCACCAGTCATCACTGTGGCCTATTAGGATTGGGACCTATTAGGATTGGAGCCAATACGGATTGGGGACTATAAGGACTGGGGCCTATCAGGATTGGGCCTGTTAGGACTGGGGCCTATCAGGATTGGGCCTATTAAGATTGGAGGCTTGGAGTCTCTTAGGAATGGGACCCATTAGACCAGCACACACACTCGTGTTTTCAGCATAAAGTCTCATCTTGGTTCTCTCGCTGGAGTTTTAGTCGATCATGTTCATCAGTTTTGATGCTGTACTTCTGGCAATTTTCTGCACAAAATCTCTTCCGTGGTTAGCATGCAAATTTAATCAGTACAAGTGTTGCAAATAATGGTTTTCGGCTGCGGGGGAGAGAATTTTTGCATACAAGTCAGCGGGAGGTTTGTGTTAGGGATTTTGCGAAGGTGATTTTAGTCAGAACTCAACTTGGTGTAGTGGTGGGGGAGGGGGGAAGGGGGTAGCTGCCTAAACGAGGACTTTTTCCCTTAACCAAAGTCCGTATTCTTAAAGGTTCTTAGTGAGATTTCCTTTTTAGAAATTTATGATGTCAGAACGAATCTTTAACTGGCACGCTTAAGGTTTCAGCACACAGAAGGTGGTTATTATGGCGCTGATATCGTACCGAGACTCTAAATTGGTTGGTTGTGGGAATCTTTGAGGATCATGACTTTGAGGTTTGTTATATTTACTGGCACTTTTACGGCTGTTTTAACTCCCCTTGTTACTTCACGGTGGAGGTGATTACTGTGTTGTATGATACAGACTGTGTCAAGCGTTAGTCATCCAGTACAGGTGTGTCTACAGGTGACAGTTTTAGGCTGGTGACTCGGTTATAGTTCACCAAATGTTGTAGATTTTATCTAAATTAACATATGTGGTAATGTGGCGTCACTATGATCATGGGTGTGAAGATGACCGTGGGCGTAAGCTGTGATCATGGGCGTGAAGATAACCGTGGGCGTAAGTTGTGATCATGGGAGTGAAGATGACCGTGGGTGTAAGCTGTGATCATGGGCGTGATTACGACTTCTGCCATCACTATGATCGCAAGTTTGACAGTGGCTGTGATTTCTTGTTGCAGGTGTGGCAGCGTCGTGCCAGGAGCTGGGCGGCGTGGGCGGTGTAGGCAGCGGTGGGGGCGGCAGCAGCAGCGGCAGCGGCGATGCCAAGTCCACCTCGTCTGGCGCCTCCGACATGAGTGACTACCTCGACACCCTCAGTCTGTCCTCCTCACACTCCTCCTCCGACCACGACAGGTGAGTGTGTCCACGACCTGTACACCACCACCCTCCCCTACCACTCGAGAGTGACCCTCCCCTACCACTCGAGAGTGACTCTTCGAGAGTGACCCTCCCCTACCACTGGAGAGGGACCCTCCCTTATCACCGGAGGGGGACCCTCCCCTATCACTCGAGAGGGACCCTCCCCTACCACTGAAGTGGGACCCTCCCCTACCACCAGAGTGGGACCCACCCCTATCACTGGAGTGGGACCCACCCCTACCACTGGAGTGGGACCCTCCCCTATCACTGAAGTGGGACTCTCCCCTACCACTGATGGGACCTCTCCCCCTACTGAGGGACCCTCCCCCACTACCACTGGAGTGGGACCCTCCCCTACCACTCAGTGGGACCTCCTACCACTCAGTGGGACCCTCCCCTACCACTGGGTGGGACCCTCCCCGCCTGGAGGGACCTCCCCCACCACTGGGTGGGACTTTCCCCTATCACTGGGGGACCCTCCTCTGTATCACTGAGTGGGGACTCTGTGCCACTGGAGGGGGACCCTCCTATCACTGGAGGGACTCTGTACCACTGGAGGGACCCTCCCCATCATTGAGGGGACTCTGTACCACTGGAAGGGACCCTCCCTATCACTGGAGGGGGACCCTCCTATCATTGGAGGGGACTCACTGGAGTGGGACCCTCCCTATCACTGGAGTGGGACCCTCCTGTCACTGGGTGGGCCCCCCTCCGACACTGGGTGGGACCCTCCTATCACTGTGGGACCTCCTACATGGAGGGACTCTCCCCTCTCACATGGAGGACCCTCCCTCACTGGAAGGGAGACTCTGTGCCACTGCCTTCCCCTATCACTGGAGGGGGACACCTCCCCTATCACTGGAGGGACTCTGTACCACTGGAGGGGACCTCCTCATCACTGGAGGGGGACTCTGTACCACTGGAGGGGGACCCTCCCCTATCACTGGAGGGGGACTCTGTACCACTGGAGGGGGACCCTCCCCTATCACTGGAGGGGGACTCTGTACCACTGGAGGGGGACCCTCCCCTACCACTGGAGGGGGACTCTGTACCACTGGAGGGGGACCCTCCCCTATCACTGGAGGGGGACGGGGGTCTTTGTTACCCTTGTACTGGAAGATGACAGAAGCTTCCCCCATGTCTCCCGAGGGCTGGTGGTGGTGGTAGTCGGTGTGGTGGTAGGAGTTATGGTGGTAGGGGTGGTAGTATTAGTAGTGGCACGGGTGGTGGTGGTAGGGGTGGTGGTAGTAGTTGTGGTGGTGGGGAGTATTAGATGTAGTAATGGTTATAGGAGGGGTGGTAGTAGAAGTTGGTAGTGTTAGTAGTTGTGGAAGGAGGTCCTCACGGGCTCCTTTTCAGCGGGAAGAGGGTGAGTGTGCTGGACCACCGCACCATTATAGTGAGGCCAGGCTGAGAGGACCCCCCCTCCCCTCCCCCCTCTTCTCCTCCTCTCCTCTCCCCTTCTCTTCCGGAAGCCGTGGAGGGAGAGGGAGAAAGTTTTAGGGGAGAAGGAAATGGATAAAAGGGAACTAAGGAACGGAGGGGAATTTTAGCTCTCTTCTCCTCTTCCTCTCCCCTTTCTCCTCTTTACCTCCTCTCATCCTTCTCCCCCTTCTCCTCCTCCTACTCCTCTCCTTCTCTCATCCTTTCCTCCTCTCTCCTCTCCTCTCTTCCTCCCCTTCTCTTTCTCTCCCTCTCCTGCTCCTCCTCTTCTCCCCTCCTCTCCCCCACCTGCTCTCTTCCCTCCCTCTCCTCCTCCTCCCTACCCTCCTCCCCCTCCCCCCTCCTCCTCCCTACCCCTCTCCTCCCTACCCCCTCCCTCCCTTTCTCCTACTCCTCTCTCCATCTCCTCCTCCTCTCCCCCTACTCCCTCTCCTCCTCCTCCCTACCCTCCTCCTCCCTACCCCTCCTCCCCCTACCCCTCTCCTCCTCCCTACCCCTCCTCCTCCCTACCCCTCCTCCCCTCCTCTCCCCTCTCATCCATCTCCTCCTCCCTCTCCCCCTCTCCCTCTCCTCCTACCTCTTCCTCCCCTGCTCCTCCTCCTCTCCTCTCCTCTCCTCCTCCTTCTCCCCCTTCTCCTCCTACTCCTTTCATCCGTCTCCTCCTCCTCTTCTCCTCCTCCTCTCTTCCTCTTTCTCCTCCTCTCCTCTCCCTCTTCCTACTCCTCTCCTTCTCCTCTCCTCTCTCCATTCCTCACTGTTTCTCTTTCAATAACTGTTGGAGAGATTGACAGAAAAAAAGAGGGATATATATTTTTTTTCTGCTCCTCCCCTCTTGTTTGCTCCTCCTCTTCCCTTTCTTTTCTCCTCTCTTCTCCTTTCTCTCATTTTCTCTTCCTTATTCTCCCTTCTCGTCTCCTTTCTCATTTCTCCTCTATTAAAGAGAGGAAGTAAAGAAACGAGGAAAAAGAGGAGAAGAAGGGAGGAAGAGAGGGAGGGTGATGATGGAGGAAGCGGTGGAGCAGAAGGGGGTGAAGAGAGAAGCGGGAGAAGAGAGGAAGAGGAGGAGGAGAGAAGGGAGAAACAGAAAGTAGGAAAAGGAAGTGAAAAGGAGGTAGAGTATGATGTACATGTCGGTATATTAACCTGTGTGTGTATGTGTGTACAGGTTGCTGGCTCGCTCCTCCGTGAACACACTGAGGCCTCGTTCTGGCAGGGAGTACACGAGGCTCGACCGTCACGGACTCTGCCAAGACACCAAGGTGAGTACTTTTACACCTCACACTTTAGTACGTGTCATTTACAAGTACATTCTTTACACTTTGCATATTAGTAATTCTCATTTACAACTGGACTCTTTTTCCATTCACGTTTGTACTCTTTTACACTCATGATACCGAAATTCGTCTCTTAGAGTACCAAAAGTTGTACTCATGATACCAGAAGTTGTTAATGTAACCAAGATTGAGTTACTGATACGGAAGACTTTTATACGAGACGTTTAATTCATAATCAGTTAAGTAAGAAGTCATCTTTCTATTGTTTCAGACACTGCCAGTACTGGGGGAGGCACCGCCACACTGAGCTGGTGATGACTTGGACCAGGAGCTCTCTGGGCCACGGTGCTGAACCAGGAGCTCTCTGGGCCACGGTGCTGAACCAGGAGCTCTCTGGGCCACGGTGCTGAACCAGGAGCTCTCTGGGCCACGGTGCTAGACCAGGAGCTCTCTGGGCCACAGTGCTGGACCAGGAGCTCTCTGGGCCACGGTGTTGGACCAGGAGCTCTCTGGGCCACGGTGTTAGACCAGGAGCTCTCTGGGCCACGGTGCTGGACCAGGAGCTCTCTGGGCCACGGTGCTAGACCAGGAGCTCTCTGCGCCACGGTGCTGGACCAGGAGCTCTCTGGGCCACTATGCTGGACCAGGAGCTCTCTGGGCCACGATGCTGGACCAGGAGCTCACTGGGTTACGGTGCTGGACCAGGAGCTCTCTGGGCCACTATGCTGGACCAGGAGCTCTCTGGGCGACGATGCTGGACCAGGAGCTCTCTGGGCCACGGTGCTGCACCAGGAGCTCTCTACATGGCGGCTTGGACCAGGAGCCTCTGCTGGCTTATGCTGACCTGGAGTGCTCTGTCACATGGTGGCTGGACCAGGAGCCTTCTTTGGCCACGGTGGTGGACCAGGAGCCTTCAATACGGTGTTGGCCCAGGAGCCTCAGTCACTTGCAGCTAAACAGGTTTCCCAACATGGTAGGTGTTGGGACCAGGAGCTCTCTGGGCCACGGTGTTGGACCAGGAGCTCTCTGGGCCACGGTGCTGGACCAGGAGCTCTCTGGGCCACGGTGTTGGACCAGGAGCTCTCTGGGCCACGGTGCTGGACCAGGAGCTCTCTGGGCCACGGTGCTGGACCAGGAGCTCTCTGGGCCACGGTGCTGGACCAGGAGCTCTCTGGGCCACTGTGCTGGACCAGGAGCTCTCTGGGCCACGGTGCTGGACCAGGAGCTCTCTGAGCCACGGTGCTGGACCAGGAGCTCTCTGGGCCACGGTGCTGGACCAGGAGCTCTCTGGGCCACGATGCTGGACCAGGAGCTCACTGGGTTACGGTGCTGGACCAGGAGCTCTCTGGGCCACGATGCTGGACCAGGAGCTCACTGGGTTACGGTGCTGGACCAGGAGCTCTCTGGGCCACGTTGCTGGACCAGGAGCTCACTGGGTTACGGTGCTGGACCAGGAGCTCTCTGGGCCACGGTGCTGCACCAGGAGCTCTCTGGGCCACGTTGCTGGACCAGGAGCTCTCTGGGCCACGGTGCTGCACCAGGAGCTCTCTGGGCCACGTTGCTGGACCAGGAGCTCACTGGGTTACGGTGCTGAACCAGGAGCTCTCTGGGCCACGGTGCTGGACCAGGAGCTCTCTGGGCCACGATGCTAGACCAGGAGCTCACTGGGTTACGGTGCTGGACCAGGAGCTCACTGGGTCGGCTGGAAGGCTCCAAAGCTTCACCGTCTGGTTTCTTCCAAGGCTCAGTCATGCCCTTACCATGTTGTTCATAATGGAGGATTTATTACGCAATATTTTAACCATTCCTTTCTGATGTTTTGGGCTTTTAGTTCTTTTGTTATAAACTTTTTTTTCTTTTTTGTTAAATGTACAAAGCTTTGTGATATGTTACCTAGTGTTTCTAGTGCTCGGAGCAGGCCACCAGTAACCGGGGGACTGGAGCTTCTAGTCAGAGAGAGAGAGGGCCGGTGAAGGGCGAGCCGTGTTAGTGTGTCGAGTTGTCGCCCCCCCTCCTGCCCATCCTGGGGCTCGTTTTGGGGGGGGGGGGGTGTTGCTTGTGGGGCGGGCTGCGGCGGACGCTCGTGCCCAAGTACCCATAAGGTGCCCTTAGTAATAGTCGTGTGGGAGGGAGAGCGACGGGTGGTGACGTAGTGTGATCTGGTTGAGTCAATGTTTATAACAACTGATAAGGCAGATGTGATGACCTGAAGCAGAGGTGAGTGTAGGTGTTACACCCATTAGGTTCCGAGTGTTGACGGTGGCTGCCAGCGAGTGTGTGTGGTGAGGGTGAGGTAACGACCACCCTACACCCACACCTACACCTATACCTACACCCTCACTACACTTACAACTACACCCATACCCACAACTACACCCACAACTACACCCACACCTACACCCACATCTCTTCACGTCACCCCCAAGGAGCACCAAACAAAGGCGTGCCCTCCAGCAGCGTCTCCCACAAGTAATATATATTGAATGCAAACTGGCAGATGATTTGTATGTATTTAATAAAATATTTTTACAGATATGAGTATTTTTTACCTTATGTCCATATTGATTAATTAATTGATAAACTACTAAATTGTCCTATATGTGGGTCAGGTGGTGGAGTGCTTAGGGATTTGGGATAAAGAAACTGGAAACACCGAAAAGTTACAAGAATTGAGTAATTAGTGATGTGAAACCAAAAGTTATCTGATTGGTCCAGGGAATGCAGCTCTGTGATTGGTTCATTCTCCTTCACCCTTCATATATTTCCTTCACCCTCCATATCAATATCTTTCCTCTTCTCCCTCACTCTCCTCTTCTCCCTCACTCCCCTTCTCCCTCACCCCTCTTCTCCCCCACTCTCCTCTTCTCCCTCACTCCCCTTCTCCCTCACTCTCCTCTTCTCCCTCACTCTCCCCTTCTCCCTCACTCTCCCCTTCTCCCTCACTCTCCTCTTCTCCCTCACTTTCCTCTTCTCCCCCACTCTCCTCTTCTCCCCACTCTCTCTTCTCCCTCACTCTCCTCTTCTCCTCTCTCCCTTCTCCCTCACTCTCCCCTTCTCCCTCACTCTCCTTCTCCTCACTTTCCTCTACTCCCCCACTCTCCTCTTCTCCCACTCTCCTCTTCTCCCTCCTCCCTTCTCCCTCACTCTCCCCTTCTCCCTCACTCTCCTCTTCTCCCTCATTCTCCTCTTCTCCCCCACTCTCCTCTTCTCCCTCACTCGTCTCTTCTCCCTCCTCTCCCCTTTTCCCTCACTCTCCCCTTTTCCCTCACTCTCCTCTTCTCCCTCATTCTCCTCTTCTCCCCCACTCTCCTCTTCTCCCTCACTCGTCTCTTCTCCGTCACACACACCCCCATATCACTACACACACAACACTCCGCAACACACACTAACAGGGGGTAGGTCAGGGGGGGGGTTGCTAAGGGTATAAATCACCCTTAACAAAAGCTGGAGGTGACGTGGTGCGGGCCCTTCTATCCACCCCTTTGCCCTTCACCCCTTCTCTCACCCCCTCTCCCCCCTCTGAGACAATTTAGTGTGTCCTGATGTCTTCATTATGCAGGGTCGACGGAAACGCTATAATGAGTTAACTTAGTAAAGGGGGGCTAGAATCACTCTCTGGCTGTGTTAACTACCAGGGGAGCTGAATCACTCTCTGGCTGTGAGTAGCCAGGGCTGTGGAGTCGAAGACAAAACCTCCGACTCCGACTACGACTCCTCAAATTTTTGTATGTTGTAACCCATAGTAAAAGTAAAACATCGTGGTTATACTGCTACAGCTTTATTAATGATCTGGACGATATTTAAGAATCACAAAAAAGATGATAGGCTTGACTTCTTCTTCAAAGTTTCAATCAAAGAAAAAATAAATTTATTAAGAATTCAAGATATTAATCTTAGAAACACCATTTTACATGTATATCTAAAAGTTCGATCTCAGCATATGAATTTTGTTTAAGCTCATAATCTGATGATCTAAAATGATGATCCAAGCAATTCCTTTTAAAGTAAAGTTATATATTTATGTAATATTAAGAAATGAATGCCTTTATTAAGGAAAAATGGATAAACCTACATGATTGTTATTAAATTAAATTTGGTTTTAATTCACCAAAAACAGGTTGTAGCTAATTGTTTGTAGCTGAGAGCCTCTGTGCAGTTTTCAACGAAAACAAAATTTCGATATATCCGTAATTTCAAATGTAAAGAAGAGACTATCGTCCAAAATTATAGTGCTATACTGTGCCTGCCAATAAATTCATAATAATGCTTTTATAAAGCTAAAATAAATTTTTAATACTTAAGAAATTAGTGGATCAGTGGAATC